AAAGGGAAAGCGTGATGGTTTGGGTGCAGTAGAGCCGATTAAGGTTAATTGGAACAAGTAACAAGTTTAGCCTTTAGCTAGGGGGATTCAGTTTTGCTTATCCTGTAAGTACATATATGTTCCTGCGCGTTCACGAACGTGGTCCTGAGGTGGGTAACCGGGTCTAGAGGGAAATTCCTGGGTTAGAGGTCGGGACGCCCGGGTCCCAGTCCACCTTTAGCTGCTCACTAGCAGTCTGATCTGTGTAAGTCATCACACCTGCAGCATCTCTTAAGGTCCCTTCCTGCTGTAAGAGCCAGGATACCCGAGCCCGAGTTCTTTGCTCTATCTGCTTTGAGGACTAAAGGAGTCCTGAAGGTGGAAGAGAGGAGCCTAAGGAAAAAAATGTTAAACATTTCTTAGCCACATTGAGCTTAGCCTATGTCAAAGTTCAGTTTGGGTTTGTCTTAAAACACAGGGAGTCTTCACGTATCATTGTTTCACCTTGTTTTGTGCACCTAATGTGGCTGATTTTCTATGGATTAAATTGCTGTCTAAAAATGTGATTTTTTTTAATGGCTACATTCCATGGTGCTGGATAACCAAACAAAATTAATCCCCCATGCTGGACATAAAGATTATTTACAGTGGTTCACTATTTTAGCCATTCACTGAACATCATTGCATATAAATATCTGGGACATTGTTGATTATTTCTTTCGGATTAACTATTACAAGTATAACTACTTAATCAAAGTCTGAATGTTTTAACAGCCTTTTGATACAAATTGAAAATTTCCTTCCAGAAAGGTTGTGTCAGTTCACATTGACAGTTGCCCAGCAGTTTTTAAGAACTGTGATACTCTAAAGAAAAAAATAGCCTTTTTTTCAGTTAAGTACAGTAGGCAGAGGTTACAGGACAATAGTTAGAGTGTGGTCTTAAAGGAAGCCACAGAAATACTATTGGGAATTGAAGCGACACCTGGGAAATGTACAAGAATATCTCAGTGTGACTGAGGGGAAGGAGAAAGGACACAGGGTTTAGTCGAGTTTAATAGAGTTTTGTATTTCATAGAGGTTTAAATAGATCAACTCGATCTGTTAATTGGGTAGGTTTTCAGCTTACTTGGAGACACATTTTCAAACTCTAGGAATTTTTAAAAATCAAATCATAGTACATATACATCAGGTAACAATCAAAGGAAACCCTGAACTAACAGATATCAAGACACTCCTTGCTTATACTTTTGAGAAAGAAAGCTTGAGTTCTTTTCCCTGTCTTTTCGTCCTACCCATCCTACCTTAGCAAGCTAGAGAAGTAGTATCAGCTCCATAGTGTTACACTGGGTTCCCCTAGGGACAAACCTGCTTCCCCATCCTGAATGAACCATCACTTCTTCCCTAGTTCACGTTTTCCTTGCTCTTTAAATATCTCAGTTCTTGTCTGGGAATTCAGATATACTGTCAGAGTTTCTTCCCTGAAGAAGATGTCAGTGTTCTCAGACCAACTGCCCTAATGTGGAGTTTAGAGGTCAAAGACCATGTCTGTTTACATGGTCCCTATCTATCTATCTATCTATCTACCTATCTTCCCTCCACTAACAACAACTGCATTCCAAGGGAATGGAGCCTTGGAAGAGGAGCTGTAATGAGGAATTAGGTAAATATCAGATCTAATCCATCACCTTCCAGTAAACTTTTATTACCTCTAAAATTTTCAACTAAATTCGTTAAGGGGTAGGAACTCCACCAGGGTATGCCATAAACATTGGAAAAGTTAGTTGAAATCCATGAGTGGATTTAATGCCCCTCTGTTTTATTCAGTTCTTTACTTGGAGTTAGGGGCATCTTAAGTTTTCTTCTGCCCAATAAATGTATTTGTGTTTATTATATCACATTAGTATTTTATAATTGTGGTATAATCAACTCTGGCCCAAGTAAAGGATAGGCAGATAGCTGCTGCAGCCTCATTTCAGCAACCTTTGTGTTCTCACAGTCCTGGCTGCCATCCCTGTTTCCAATGTACAGGGCAGACAGAAAGGAGTGAAATAAGAATTATGTACCTAACACTAGCAAGAGGATGATGATGATATTTTTTATTTTACCGTTTTTGTATGTGTATATCTATATGAACATGAAGGATTCATACAGGTTGATAAGAAACCAGTAAGACAAACAGGCCAAAAAATGATCATATAATTCATAAAAGAACTAAAACAATCAACAAACTTCAAGTTGTACTTTGTAATTAAATTAGAAAAAATATATATTTTAAACAAAACCAAGTGCTAAGTGAAGACCCAATGTAACTGGCACCAATTATCCACATGTATCAAGAACCAGGAAAATGTTCTTTGTCCTTGATCAACAGTTCCGCTTGAGGAAAATCTGTCCTCAGGGCCTAGCCTGGGACCTGGTACACAGTAGACACTTAACAAATATTTGCTGAATACACAAATACTTATATTTTTAAAACTGGAAACAATCCTTACCTAACAACAGGGAAACTAAACATTACGGGACCACTAAACAAGATACTTATAAATATCATGCAGTAAAATGGAAATTATTTGTCAAAATATTCAATGAAAAAATGGGTGTTATGTGTATAATTGTTCTTAAAAGCTTCATGGGAAAAAGACTGGAACAAAAATATATACCGAAATGCTCACAGTGGTTGCAAGGTTTCTCAGCCTTGGCACTGTTGACATTTTGGGACAGATAGTTCTTTGCTGTGGGGGCTGTCCTGTGCATTGTAGGAGGTTTAGCAGCATCCCTGGGCTCTACTCACTAGATAGTAGCAACCCTCTCTCCACCCTATTTTGACAACTAAAGATGTTTCCAGGCATTACCAGATGCTCCCTGGGTTAAGTGATGGAATAGTGGGTGACTTTCCCCTTGTTTTCTTATTTGCCATAATGTGGTAATATTATTTTAATAATGAAGAAAAAACAGAAAAATAAACACATGCCATTATTCTACCTCAACTCTGATGTTTGGGGTTCTGGGGTTCTTTCCATTATACTACTCCATCTGCCAAACTCTCTGCCGCTTGGCAAGATGAAATGGTTCATTAAATTTTGTTTTTATTTTTTTTTAATAAAAATAAAACATATTCATTGGTTTGAAAATCTGGACACAGGAAAACACCAAAGAAGTCATTCACAATCTCATCTCCCTTTTCTTCTTTTTCTCCCATCCTTTCTTCCTTTCGAAAACTATAAAGAGATAAATACCTGACTATTCTTCCTTTAATTTCGTTCCTAGATATAATTACTGTCAGCATCTTGGTATGGATTTTTCTGTAAATTTCCATGTCTAAATATACACACACAGATTATTTCTTTTTTAAACAAAAGTGGATTTCTGCTACATATACTGTTCTGCAACTTACTTTCTACATCTTTACAAAGTCAATACATCTACATGTATTCTTTCCTTAATGGTATTACATTATATGGACATACCAAAATTTATTTAACCATTTAGGCTATCTAGGGTTTTCCCAGTTTGGGGCTGGTATTAGCAATGCTAATCCTTTGGCGTCTATTGTTACATGCATGTGTTTTTGTTTTTGTAAGATATATTTCTCAGAGAGGAAGTGAAAGCTAATATGACATATACATTTAAGATTTTAATGGAGATTACCAAATTGCCCTTCCAAAAAAGGTTATACAACTTCACATTCCTACCATTAGTGGGTAAGGAAACCCATTTGTTCATATCCTCAGAAATGCTAAATATTAGGAAACTTTATAATTTTGATCAAGCTAATAAGTGAAAAATGGTGTCTCATATCTTAAACTATTATTTTTTTCTTTATTGGTAAAATTGAGCATCGTTTCCTATGTTTAGATGTCATTTGTATTTCTTATTCTCTGAACTGTATATTAGAACCTTTGGCTCATTTTCCTGTTGGGTTGTGTGTACTTTTCTTATTGATTTTTAGGAGCTATTTATATATGCATGACATAAATCTTCTGCCTTACATATGTGTAACATTGATTAATTGATCAATTGTGAGTTTTTGTATGTATACAAAGGTCGAAGAGACCCTAAGGCAGAAAGCTGGCTTTCTTCTCAAAATGTAAATGTATGTATTACATGAGAGAGAAAATACATTAATAAATAAACAGATTTGCTGAACTATAGAACAAATTTCTATTTACTCCTCTACTGGAATATATGCTCCTAGAGGAGAGTGACTTTTCTTTCCTGTTCACTGCTGTATCCCTAATGCCTAAATTAGTGCCTGGCACAGAAAAACTACTCAATCAATGTTTGCTGAATCAAAGAATTGGTAGAATTTCAAGCAGGATGACACAATGAAGTGTAGAATCTAGGCAGATACCCCTGAAAGAGGGCTGTGAGTGAGTCACATCTTAATGTGAAGTGGTTGAATCCAACTGTTTCTCCTTCTCACTCCCCCTGCTACTAGTGGAATCAGTTTATTGAGGGAATGGAATTTATAATTTGGGATAAGCAAAGGACGAAAGAGGAGATTTTAGAAGGATGGAACCTGAGGGAGAACTGGCATGGTTGGGATAATAATGTGGAAGGCTTGAATAGTTAAAGGGTAGGATGAAAGCTGCTAGTGGGAGGAAGAGGCATTGAAAGGTGGGAGATAATGGAAGTTAGATTCTCCTTGCTTTGAAATTTTGTATAGGGCAGGCTTGGATTTCTAGATATGTTACACTGCAGGAAAAAAACAAAAAGTAATTGAGAGGATTTTGGTGCAATATTTTCTTCTTGGTTTCTTTTGAGTGTACAAGTTTTTTTACAGGCCTTGTAATTAGAATTCTCATCATAGTACCTTTTTTTTTTTCATTTAGCTTTATGTGGCTGTGGGATATTAAGTGAAGGTATTGAACTTCTAAATTCCCTGCTGTATTTCAGCACTTACAAATCAGTCATTGTCTGGTTATCAAAAGACAATTTCAATTAAAACTGCCAAGTCCCATAATGTCTGGATATTCAATTATTGAGTAAAGCAGTTTTCTTTTTGTGTTTTCCATAATTAGGTCATTCCAGAAAGATGAGGATATACAGTATCTTTACATTCATGGCTTACTGTTGTTTGCTGAAAGGTAAGACACCAAATCCTTTCATTAGGTTCTATAATTTAAATATTTTAACTATAAGATAAAAACTGAAATAATAAAATAGATATAATTTTTGTAGAGAAGACATTCTATTTTTCCTTCATTATAATTCATAAACATATTTCATAGACCTATTTCAATGGACAAAGATATAGGGAGTATGGACACATCTAAAGAAACAAAATTAACCCATATCCATTTATCCATTACTCATTATCCATTATCCATTTCCCAAGGGTAATTACTTAAAATATCTGAGGAAATGGCCTATGTGTATACTTTTATATGCTTGTTTTAAACAAGCAGGATCATTCTATCCACCTTGCTCTATGACCTGCTTTTCCCAGTGAGTATATTCTAAGGAAGAATTATAGTGTACATGCAGTGTCAGGGTAACACAGTACTGGCATCAGCCTGAGACCCTCCCTAAATCTCTGTACTCATCTACCTCTGGCCAGACAACTGATTAAGAGTTTCAGTCAGTATGTAGAGAGGACTATTGGAATCTATGATTTAGACTATGTAAAAAGCAATGAGTGTCCAGTCAAAGGACATTCTGGGGATGTCCACATGAAACAAAGTATCCCTTGTTATAAGCACCCCATTACCATGTAATATTTCTACAGTAGTGTATATTTATGAATTTTGGGACTACAACTTGTTTAGCTAATTTTATTATTTTAACTCAGGAGTAAGATATACATCGTAAAACATGTCTCAAGCTCACTGGATAAAATATGTATTTCAGGGAAGTAAGTCCTTAAATGTAATTATCACATAAGTGATCAGATAAAGCTTTTATAAACCCTGCATTCATTCTATAAATTTTTTGAGGAATTTTCCGTCTTCTAAAGATTGGTCATCTTTCTTTTCAGCATTTACTATCACAGTTCCCAAGGACCTGTATGTGGTAGAATATGGCAGCAATGTGACATTGGAATGCAGATTTCCAGTAGACAAACAATTAAACCTGTTGGCATTAGTTGTTTACTGGGAAATGGAGGATAAGAAAATTATTCAGTTTGTGAATGGGGAGGAAGACCTGAATGTTCAACACAGTAGCTACAACCAGAGGGCCCTGCTGTTGAAGAACCAGCTCCCCTTGGGGAAGGCCGCACTTCAGATAACAGATGTGAAATTGCAGGATGCAGGAATTTACTGCTGCTTGATCAGCTATGGCGGTGCCGACTACAAGCGGATTACTTTGAAAGTCAATGGTAAGACCTATTACAGATAGACACAGCCTTTATTAAAACCATATCTCAGTGTTGAGAACTTTTCAATCTTGGAAGTCCAGCCTCACTTTCCACAGCAGCAGTCTGTTCATTCATTCATTCACATACTCATCCAATGAGCGTTGCTTGAGCACATCCTGTTTGATAGTCCCTGGAGATCCAGAGCCAAATGTGGCAGTCATGTTTCACAACATGTTCAGTTTTCCTAAAAATAAATTCCTAGGGCTTCCCTGGTGGTGCAGTGGTTGGGAGTCCGCCTGCCGATTCAGGGGGCACGGGTTCGTGCCCCGGTCTGGGAGGATCCCGCATGCCGCGGAGCGGCTGGGCCCATGAGCCATGGCCGCTGAGCCTGCGCGTCCGGAGCCTGTGCTCCACAACAGGAGAGGCCACGGCATGAAAGGCCCACATACCGCAAAAAAAAAAAATTAAAAAAAATAAATAAAAAAGTAAATAAATTCCTAATCTTCACTTTTTTATTATTATAAAAGTAATATATATAAATATATATATATTTTTTCTTGCAAATAATTCGGAAACTGTGGAAGAGAATAAATGAACCACAAAAGTGTCTCTCCTCCCTTCACCACTATCTTCCATGGCATGCAAGGATAATAGTCACTATTTGTGTGTCCCTCCAAGAATTTTTAAATTCAATACTTATTTCTTAATTTTATGAGGTCTGCCAGCATTTTTTCTTTGAACCTCTCTATGTCAAATCCAAATAAATATATTAATGACAAACCCCATTGTAAGGTTCACATTCAAAAAGACTTGAAGTCAATCTATGAAGGCAAAAAATAATCATGTCAAGTATTGAATAAACTATTCTTCCTCAGAGACAGTATAAACTATGCTCACTAGGCATACATTCATCTTAAAAATCTGTACCATTTTTATCTTGGAGTATTGAAGAGGAACTGTGTCAAATTCCTGGGTACTGACCTATAAATATGACATCAGGTCACCTGGATTCAAAGTTTTGGATTGCTTCTAGCTCAGTAAAGGAAAACACCTTAGCTGACCACCTCTGCTTTCACTGTTAAGATTCATAAAATTGAGAGCTGAAAGGATCCCAGGCAAGAGCAGCTAATCCAAACACCCAAAGAACAGCAATCCCCTGAAAGGATCTTCTACTCACATACTTCCTACAATGATACCCCTGTCATTTGGACCTTCCTTCTATAGCCTATTGTAATTACTTTCTGATATTGAGCTGAAATCTGCCATCTCTAGTCATAGTTTTGAGATTATCTGCTTGCTTCTTTTGTTTACATGGTGACCTTTTAATATGTGACTAGAATTAAATCATCATCCCTTGGTGTTTCTATTCCTGACCTAAGTACCATCAATCTGAATGTCAGGAATATAAATAGAAAAAGTTTACACTTATCATAAAGGGGTAACTAATCATTATAAAGTCAAAATCAAAATTATATAGGAATTAGGAGAAATGCATCTGTTTTATGGTACATTGCTGGGTCTCTAATTCTGGCTCAATTAATGCTACTGTTGTCAAAATGTCACTTGTCTTGTGAGGTAGATTTAATTTAATTGTATCTTACCATATGCTTCTCCATAACAGATATTCATGAAAGCAAGCTGATGGGATCCCAAGTTGGGATTTTTAACTTTTCTTCAGTCCATCAGCAAATATCAGGCATACTATGTTTCAAGGCATTAAAGAAATTATCAAGACTTAGCTCCATGAACAGCCAGCATTGCTGGATCTAGGGTAGGGAGGAAGAGCATAAGCCTGGCAGTCGGTTAGAAGGAAGTATAGAGTATATGTCTCTGCTTCCAGAAGAAGAGTCTCTCATCAGTCTTAGAGAGTATGCAGAGAGTGGAAAAACTGTCCCTGTAGTGAAGAAGGGTGTTCTTCCAGGTTATCTGGGCTCTGTAATGTCCCTTGTGGATTTGTGATTTCCTTTGCTGTGGTTTGACACAATGGGAAATCTCTTGGCACTGATGGTTTTTCCAAGGAGGGGTCCTTGATGGAGCAAAGCAGATGACCAACCAGATTTGAGGATGTGATTTGTCTGACCATTCCATTTTGTACTATAAATTACTAATTTGGCATCCTAGTCCCACTCCATCTAGTTGTCATTTGCACATAGTGGTCTTGGAGGTCAAGTTGAGCTGCACTGAAAGCAAGTCAGCTACCAAGCTTCAATTGCACTGAGGCAGTGTCACCAAAGAAGTGTGGCCAGCTTGCATGAGCTTTACAACTCAGGGAAGTAGAACTCCTGAGTCACCTCCATATGCAAACGATTTCACAGTAACGCTGTCGGGCTTCGCTTCCCATCACTGCAAACATGTGGTAACACAGCTTCCCCATAGGGAGTTTACTCACCATGGGATTTTAAAGGTGAAGCATTTCAAAACTGAAATTTGAAAGAGTTTAGCTTTAGATTAACTCAATTATTATCCCTTTGGTGTTATTGTACCTTTCATGTTTGTTTAAATACCAGACTCTCAGGCATCTGACTTTCAGTTGAAAATGTTATTTTTCCTTAAACACTGAATCTAATAGCAGGGAAAATGAAGTGCCCATTTCTACTTTCAAGAACTTAAATGGGATGAGGCATTGAAAGAACAGAGTATGTATAGTTACCCTGATAAAGCCAATTTGTTCATATGGACCAAGGATTAACTGCTATCATTCTTCACCAACCCCATCTCTCCTCCAAATTCACCAACCAGCCCTGTTTAAGTTTTCCCTGTAGCATTAAATCCCCATCTAATATATCATGTAACATATCATATAAATGTACCTACATATTTTGTTTATTATCTCTCTCCTTCTTCTAGAATATATAGTCCACAAAGGCAGAGATTTCATCTATTTTATTTATTACTGTATCCCTAGGACTTGGCATATAAGAGTAGTAGGATGATAAGAACCTACAAAAATATATATGTTGAATGAATGAATGAATGGCATATTTCCTCAAATAGGATAAGCCTAAAAAATTTGAAACACGAACAGGTTTGGATACATGAAAATTTATTTCCAAGACTGTTCATCAGGAACTGTCAGTACTTTCTAAAGAATACCACATGAGTGCACTTTGCTAGTAGTAAGAAGAGGAAGAGCAGCTCTAGCAGTAAAAGCAGTAGTAATTAACACTTATATAGTACTTATGTGCCAGGGCCTATCCTAAGCACTTTGCCTATATTATCTCATTTAATCCTCAAGCGACTCTATGGAGTAGGAGCTTTATCATGTCTAAGATGCATGTTTTTCACATTTTACTATCTCTGAAATCTGAGTGTGTCTTTCAGTAGGTGACATCTTAAGAGTCAGTGATATGTGGTGGTATTCTTCTCATTTCATGGCTGAGCAAACTGAGGTCCAAAGAAATTAAGTAATTTGCCAAGTTCATTAAACTATTAAGTGATGAAGCCAGGTTCTAAACTCAAGCAATCTGTCTCTGAAGTCTGTGCCCTTAACAACCAGGTTTATTTCCTGTATTTGTACCTCCAAAGTGTGTATTGAGTTGTATTTTTTTTTTTTTTGCGGTACGCGGGCCTCTCACTGTTGTGGCCTCTCCCATTGCGGAGCACAGGCTCCGGACGCATAGGCTCAGCGGCCATGGCTCACGGGCCCAGCCGCTCCATGGCGTGTGGGATCTTCCCGGACTGGGGCACGAACCCGTGTCCCCTGCATTGGCAGGCGGACTCTCAACCACTGTGCCACCAGGGAAGCCCTGAGTTGTATATTGACTTCAAAACTACTGTTAGCTTTTCGTTGTCCAGATGTAATAGTTGCATTAGAACATGTGTACGCTAGATCTAGTAAACCAGGAGTCTGCAAATGTTTTTGATTACCTACCCCATTAGTAAAGCATGTTAAACTAATATATGTATGTGTGTGTTTATAAAGAATGTACTTGTGCTAATATATGTTATATCATCAGAAATTGACATTTTTTAAAGGCAAAAGAAATTGAATATCACCAATTTCATATGGTTCAACATAATACATTGCACATTCTATAAATGTACAAAAATAGAAATTTTAAAAATATGAAATGAAAATTTAATAAACAATATTTTCAGTCTTACTAATTATGATGCTTCACTATAGTTAGCTAATATTTCAAGGCATAATATATCTTAGGTGAAATTTCGCATTAACAAAAATGGATGGTCTTGACAATCTTAAGGTTTTTTTAACCAATGCCTTGTCAGAGCCAATTAGGTACTTGTTGTTTTACTTCATAAAGTCATGGTAAGAAGTATCACTCTTGCCATTTCCTTTTGGTTTTTGCTTGATTTATTGGTAATATATCCAGTCCTCAGTTTCTTTGTGGGGAACCTTTTAATTAGTTGTTCATTTTGTAAGCAGGTTAGTTTAGTTAAAATTAGATGAGAGAGACTTCCCTAGTGGTCCACTGGCTAAGACTCTGCACTCTCAACGCAGGGGGCCCAGGTTTGATCCCTGGTCAGGGAACTAGATCCCGCATGCCACAACTAAGACCCGACACAGCTAAATAAATAAATATTTAAAAAGAAATTATATGAGAGAACCTGAATATCTGTAATAATCCCAAACAAGTCACTGTCCTCCCTTAGGTGTTATAAAACTCCCCTATTCCTTTAAAACAAAGTGAGGCCCAGTGTCAATCAGTAAATCTCATTAAGCTTAGATTATTTCTTAATTGTTTTGATAAAAATACGTATAAGTGGAGGTTCTAATATTTTCTTATTAAACCCAAATACATGTGCTCCACTTGAGAGACTAATAAAATGGGTATTTAATCAGTGAGTAGAATGAATCCGCTAATTTGTTGGGCCGTTAACGGTACAGTACATTTATACATATGCCCAGGCATGAAACAACATTCTTCTTTATTCTTATTCCATTAAAAATAATAATCAAAGGGTAAAAAAGCAAACATTTTACCCTTAAAATTTACTATTCACTCTGATTTTAGGCTTAGAATTTTAATTGTCCAAAAATCAAGCTATGTGCTATATGAATTAGAACCTGTTATGGTAATATTATTTCATGAGGTATAATCAGTGGATTCCTTTTTAAAAGAATGCTTAAATATAATAGATAAAGGTTGAGGATTCAAGCACTCATGAGAACCATTATTTATATGTTTTGAAATTGTAATTATGTTGATTTCCAATGTTTTCATTGAACATAATATCATTATTTCAGTTTTGTTTGATCCTGGCTGTATTGTATTAAATCTCTGTGAATATATCATATCACAAAGCCATTGTTGTGTCTTTAGTAAAGGAATGGAGAATTAAGGCTCTAGGTGGACCATTAGTGGTTACACTAAAATATTAGGAGTAAAATAAAAATTGTGCCAACAGAATAATAACATGTTAACATACTTATCATGAATAAACATGAAAAAGTTATTAGGCATTGTAAATGCACTAAATAATCTACTAGAATATTTAGTACATCTACTAGAATATTTAGTACATTTAATCCTAAAAGGTTCCAAACTTACGATCTAAAATTTAATCAAAGTTTCTTCCTTGAGTATAATTAAATGATTTATTAAAATAACCAGCATAAAAAGTTTAAAAAATAAGTATCATAATATGGTATTCTAGATGAGATCCTAGAACAGAAAAAGGACATTAGGGAAAACTAGTGAAATGGAACAAAGTATAAAGTTTAGTTAATAGTACTGTACTAATGTTGGTTCCTTAGTTAGGATGAAAGTACCATGGTAATGTAAGATGGTAACAATAGAGGAAACGGGAGAGGTATGTGGGCACTCTGTACTATCTTTGCAACTTTTCTGTAAATCTAAAACTATTGTAAAATTTTTTAAAATGCATTTAAACTTTAAAAATTATCATGCAGGGAACACGTATCCACTTTTACAATGATGTTATACTATTTTCATACCTAATTTCTTATCATTTACCTAAAATTGGAAAAGTGAATGGCCCATCAAAATGAGATTTTCTGTTTATTAAATAAAGTCTAAGAAAACAGTACTGACCAGCTGGAGATGTTCATGTTTATAAAGACAGCTTTACATCAACAAAGAGATAATAAATTTAAGAATTTGGCCCTTTGTAAAAACTGTAAAACTTTACTGCGAAACATATAAAGACTTGAGTAAATGGACAAACATACTTTATATTTAGATAGAAAGACTACTGGTTTAAAGATGACAATTCTCTTTTAATTAATCTATACATTTATCAATACTTTGAGCTCAATAAAAATAGCAATATGTTTTTTATAGCAAGGTAGTTGTTCCTTTAAGCCCAAACTTGGCCCAAGTATGAGTGGAAGAGTTGAGGCAGAACTACCAGGCATTCCCCACTGCTGAAACATCTGAAAATTAAGCTTATTTCTCTGAGAACAGCCTGGACTGGTATTATTTCTAAGGTAGACAAGACCAAGCCACATGTCTAGTTCTGTGCTAAGTGAAAGCCATGCCTTCTTTTTGCTCATGACCTAGCTTCATACCGCAAAATCAACCAAACAATTTCTGTGGATCCAGTCACCTCTGAACATGAACTAATGTGTCAGGCTGAGGGTTACCCTGAGGCTGAAGTCATCTGGACAAACAGTGACCACCGAGTCCTGAGTGGCAAAACCACCATTACCAGTTCCAAGAGGGAGGAGAAGCTTTTCAATGTGACCAGCACACTAAGAATCAACACAACAGCTAACGAGATTTTCTACTGCATTTTTCGGAGATTAGGTCATGAGGAAAACAGTACAGCTGAATTGGTCATCCCAGGTAATATTATGAATGTCTCAATTAAAATGTGCCTAGTACTGTCCCTTGGTACCTAGCCTGATGCCTGCTCATTGTAAGCTTTCATTGTTTGTTGAATGAATGAATAACACTGTATTTACAAAATGCATCCTACTTCCTCACCTCCATTCGTCCAAGTCATATTGCAACTTAATAAACATTCAGCAAATATTTATTGAATATGTGGTACGTGCCAGGCATTGGGGACTCAGTTAACACTCTCCAGGAAGTAGATAATAAAACAGGCAATCTCATTTTATGTAGGACATGCTCTTGTGGCTGGGGGATCTAGGGCAGCACCTGAGAGGAAGACTCAACTCAGACCAAGTTTCAGGAATCCAAATCTGAGCACATCAGAGCTGTTTCCTTCTTTCCAGGGTTTCTGTGGCAGGAAGCAAATGGAATGTACTTTCCTATCTTATTCCAAACGGGAAAGATCCTTCCTCCCCATCTGCCTCCTCCAAGGTAGTCTGCTTAGTGCGTAAGATATAAGGCTGTGTGTCCCTGGGCAAGCAACTTGACTTCTGTGTGTTTCACTTTTCTTATATAGTTATAACCTATTGGGCAATACCATCATAGGAATACATGAGCTACGGTGTATGAAAATAATTTGAGACTCTTGTTTGCGCAGAATCAACTATTTTATTTTTATCTCACTCTCCTATAGAAGTGGGTAAGGCAGGATACAGTCTAGTGAGAGGCTCAGACCTTTAGAGAAGGCGAGCTTGAGAGCATGATGTTAATATTGGTTTGGCCAAAAAGTTCGTTCGGTTAGTGAATCCGTTGTTCAATGAAGTTCTTCGTGAAAATGAAAAATGTGTCTTTTATTTTTACTTAAAAGCGAGTGAACTTTTTGGCCAACCCAATATAAACCCAGAGGTTTATATTGTCTGCTTCTCAGAGGCACTTCTCACCACTCTCTCCCCCACTAGATGTTGAAAGTAAAGCTTAGGTACTTCAGAGAAAACAAATAAAAAATTGAATAGAAAAGGTAAACAATAGGAAAAAATAATCCAGGGTGGTCCTATGAACAAAAAGAACAAAAGAAGTTTAGAAAATTAAAGAGATGCTCTTACTGGGGTGTGAATCACTTTGGTAGGAGCTGCATTAGTATAATAGGTTCCTGTCATTTAAAAGCTATTTTATGATAACTTACTTGTGGGAAGACCTAGGGTTAACTCACCTAACTGCTCAGAATCTGTTTCCTCATCTGTAACCTGGGGATTTAAAAAATAAAAAATGGCACACCTAATTCATAAAGTTATTAACAGGCTCTGTAAACTGCAAGCTACTAGAGAAAAGCTGACTACAGCTTTAAAGCTTGAACTAGGTAGTCATGGATCATGGCTAATGGTGGGAGGTGGGAGTTAGCAGTCTCTGAGCATCATGTGCCATAAGACCCCTTTTCTTCCTGCATGGGACTGGAGACAGGTTGGTGAGAGGTGCCAATGATTAGATGTCCCAAGATGTTCAAACTGTGGAGAAAGAAAAGATAGCAAACAATGGTCCCAATCATGGCCACAGATATGGGGAAGCAGGAGCTCTTTGACAATGCCAGTTGGCCTTCATGTTCCATCTTTGCCATGTGCAGTAGGCTGCTACCTTTTATATTAAGGAATGCAGGAAGTGAAATAATCAAGGCTACCATATAATATTGAGTTGCCACTCCTTGTGAAAAGCACTTTATAAACATTAGCCTCACAAAAATTTCATTAGCATTTCCATTTTTTAGGCTGGTTAAAGGACTTACTGGAGATCTCAAAACTAGTGAGTGGCAGCAGAACTTAACCCCAGGTTCATCTTTCCAAAACTTGGGCTGCTTCCACTTTTCCATGCTGCTCCCATTTTCATATCTGAGGTATCTCACCATTCCAGCCACTCACTGGAAAGGAACTTATGGTATTTAAGAAAATTAACCTCATACTATCCTAAATTAAGCTTCAAAGATGATTATTCTCTTGCCCTTCCAAAGAAGATTTTATCTTTAGTTTCTTTTTATTTTGTTTTGTTTTTCAGAACCATATCCAGATCCAGCAAAAAAGAGGACTCACTTGGTGATTCTGGGAGCTCTCCTGTTGTTCCTTAGTGTAACCCTGACAATCATCTTCTATCTAAAAAGAGATGGTATTTCCTTTATTGTAATAGTCTCCATTGGGGTTGAGGAGAAGTGTATGAGAGTGCTACTGTTGTCACAATGGCACTTAGTGGGCAGAGCCAGGGATGCTAAATCTCCTGTAATCTGCAGAACAGTCCCATGTAACAGGGAGCTTTTCTACCCAAAATGCTAGAGGTGCCCCCAGCAGGAAACAGTGATTTATCAAATGGTTTCCTATTAGCTTTCCCTTCCAGGGCCAACTTTCAGTTATGCAAAGTAGGTTTTTAGTTACTGTTCTGCAGTATCACTTTCATTGAAGGGCGGCAGTGAACACTTGTAGTAACCTTTCCAAGGGGGTGAGAATTGGATCATGGCTGCAAGCAAACCTGACTTGCCTCTGCAAGGTAGCACAAAGACACTCCACTGTTTGATAGCAATTATAGTGAAGCTGTACAGGATTGCTGGGTGAAGATTGTGAGAGAAAGGTTGTGTATGGAGGTTGAAGAAGACCAAGTGTTAAACAATTTCTTTCTGTCATGCAAATAACCACAGACTTACAGAAGAGAAAAAGCTAAATGCCTGTTGGTTTCAGTTCAATTTGTCAAGCATTAGTTGCACTGTTATATTGAGCTGGTTTCTGGGACCTTTAAATAATAAAAATAGTTCTTTATGGAGAGCAGTGATACTTTTACCATAGAGTAGTTTGCAAGATTTCTGGCTGAGGGTGTTATATAGATTTTAAAATAATTTTAATGTGTGTATTTCTCTATTTACCCAAGGGGGCAATTAAAATTCAGGGAAACGTGGCTATTCAAATAATTTCCTTTCATTTTAAGATGATTCAGAGCGAACATTTCCCCAGTACTTTGAGAAGTACACCAAAGGATCTGATGATGATCTGTGTATAGAGTTATCTGATGACAAATAGGGAAGTGGAAAATGGAAGGGAATTCCAATAGTCGTTGAGAAATTCCCTACAACCCCTTAAGAGGTGGGTGGATCTGGGAAAGTGGTGTAATTGAGGGAGTGGAGGTCAGCTTCTTCTAATGAACAAGTACTTAACAGAACTGAGATAGCCAGAGTATAAGGATCAAGTTTCAGTGATAGGAAGACCTGAGATGGCTTTGATTTGTCCAAGGAAGTGGCTGTGGCCAACTTGCATTTCCATGTGAAAAATAATTAGTTGGCATTAGAAACGACTAGATAACCAGCGTATAATAAAGTATCTCAGAATATGGTACATCTCTGGGGGAAGAATGGAAAATATAAGTATATACTCCTGAATAAAATCTAGAAAATTTTGAATTAATTAAACTGTTGAATTAACCTCAGGGGTTGGGACTCCTGGAATATGGAAGTCTACCAGATTTCCTAAGGGATTAAAAATGTTTCATAGGAACCTGGGATTTAAACTTGAGTCACTGTGTGGGATGTAGAGTTGTGTTATATGGAAATAAAAATAATTTTTTTTTCAAGTGGAAGTGATGGATATGGAAAAATGTGGCACCCGAGATATGAACTCAAAGCAGCAAAATGGTAAGAATATTAGCAGGGATCGGAAGTTGAAGGAAAAGTAAACAAAAAGTTAAAGAACAAGGAGAAGGCTATCAGCCATAATCTCCCCTCATTTTACAGAATGCTGACTGTTGGAACTGCCAGCTCCTCTTTGCCTCACAACTCTGATATAAGAACTATTCCCACAGTCTGAGATTTAGGGATGGCAAAGGAGAGTAGAGGGATGGCTCTTTGCGGAGGTGGGGGAAGGAGGCAGCTTCTCTCTGTTAGGTTTCTATTGCTCTGCATCCTAACATCTCCCTGCAACAGGGGACCAAAGTGATTTATGTGGATGGGTGATAGATAGATGGATGGATGGATGGATAGATAGATAGATAGATAGATAGATAGATAGATAAAACATGTATCAGGCACTGTGTGTACTGCTTCATGTGCAGTACTTCAATCTCCTCCCTCCACAAAATCAAAGAGAATTTATTTATTTATTATCCTAGGATAATACTAGGATTATTCCCATTTTATAGTAGAGAAAACAGAGCGTCAAGAAGATAATATAAATTACCCAAGAACACAAATCTGGCAAAAATAAGGCGTTGGGGCCCACTAGCCTGACTATAGAACCTTACTCTTAACCTGTTCACTTAAATCCATTCCACAACAAATGTCTACATTTGTAGAAGTCCACAAAGACCTCACCCAGATGATTGAACTAAGAGGAAAGTTATATTAAGGTTTCTAATTCTTATTAATGTAATTAGAAACCACACTTCACAATGAGCCCAAGTTTAAAGTAGTCTAATTACCTTGGACAAGCTCAGGCATGTTTCGTTATGTAGTCCATAGCACTCATTTGTGTTGTAAAGCTAATTAATGAGTGTTGTTTGGAGCATCCTAGGGTGCCAAACCATCCCAGTTTGCCCAGGACTAAGGGTTTTCTCAGAACATGGGTCTTTCAGTTTCACAACCAGGACAGTTCCTGGCAAACCAGGATGGTTGGTTACACTTTATCATGTAAGGGGAATTGGACATAAATATAATATGCTTCTTTCTCTTATTGCAAGTTTATTATATCATCTAGCAAATATAACTTATGTTTCTCATTTTCACTCTCCAGATACACAATTTGAGGAGACGTAATCCGACGTTGAAACTTCTGATCTTAAAGCAGGGATTCTCAGCCTGTGGTTTGGGTTCGTCAGGGCTAGGCATGACCAGAGGCATGCAATGGGCCAGTGGGCTGCAGATGATGTAGAACTTAAAAGGCCCAAGCTCTGAAAATGGAAGCTGGGAAAGAAGAAGAGAACAAAGGAAGAAGGAGTAAAAAAGGTAGCCTTAGCCTGGAAGGAAACCTTGGTACTTCAAAATGACTGGGAGACTCATCAATGCATATGAAAAGGAGAAAGGACACTTCTGAATGATAAATCTCCACGCAAATTATCCATCACTCATCCTAGGAAAACAGGTTGAGATTCCCTGATTTAATGGTCAGTTCCTGCAGAAGTGCCCTTTGCCTTCACTCAGTGTTGATTTGTCTTCTGGGTAATTGAGAGTCCCAGTGTTGCAACAGTACTTAAGTATGAGTTATTTTTATTTATTTTAAGTCTGTGGGGTCTTGTCATGTGAGTGTGGTTGTGAGTGATTTCTTTTGAAGATATGCTGTATTAGAAGTTAAAATTATGTCACCAGACCAAACTTACTGCTTGATGACTTGTGTGTGTCCAGCAAAATATAGTATTTGTAAGTTGCTTGATATCCTCTATAACTATCAGTACATAGGAACCATAGAGAACAAACCATTGGTTTGTATAGGATATTACCTTATTTAACCCATTGATACTTTGACTGACTTGGATAATCTTATTCTCAGACCTCAAAGTAAGATACATTACCAAAATATGTTACGTTTAAGTATCAGCTTTACAACTATGTGTACACATAATCTCATTTCATTCCTGTAGCAGCTGTGTTATAGCAAGCACTATTCTACCCATTTCACAGCTGAGGGAGCAAAGATAAAATAACGTGCCCAAGACAATAAACAGCAGACCTCAGATATCCGAGACTGTCACCCACTGTCCTTTTATTTCTTTCTTTTAATTAAGGTGTAGTTGATTTACAATGTTGTGCCGATCTTTGCTGTACAGCAAAGTAACTCAGTTATACACATATACACATTCTTTTTAATATTTTTTTAATTAAAAAATTTTTTTAACCACTGTCCTTTTAGAATACAATTTACAGCTCTGTTTTACTTTAAGAAATTCATTCATTCAGTGAACATTTAGGAAGCGCCCTACCATGTTAATCACTGTGCCAGGCAGAGTATACAGATGTGAGCAAGATAAAGCACTTCCCCTCGAGGAGCTCATAGTATCATGGGGACAGCAGTAAGAAAATGTATTGCTACAACATGGTGCATTATCATAGTATACGGTGTTCGAGGAGAATGCTTGTATGAGGAGGAAAGTCTAGAAATGCTGCCGAAGGAGGGGACGCTCTGGGTAGCCAGCCAGTGTGTTCCTGGACAGTTGAAAATACTTAAACATTTTAATAATCAAAGCAATTTTAGTTTATGAGATGTCAGATTTTTTAAAACTGTGGAAAACAGCTCTTGAATTCCTTTTCTATGACTATATTTACCCCTGATTTGTTTGCCTTTGCCATGCAATTTGATGTTTATTTATATAGTGCCTAGTATTGTCTAGCAGTTTTCTTTTTTATTTAAATGCAATTGAATTTTGAATTCATACTTTTTTATGATTCAAAATTCAAAAAGTCCAGTAGGAGACATTAAAAAGTCTCTATTCCATCCTCCTACTCATCTAGTTTCCCTTTCCAGAAGCAATAACACTTGTCTTTTGTTTATTTGTCTTCTAAAGATATTCTATGAACATATGTGGAAATGTTTGTAAAATGTGTATATATTTTTAGTTTTTGCTCTTTTTCACATAAGTAGTAATGCATTATGCGTCTTCTGTGCCCTTTGCTATTTTTATTTAATATACTATTTCTTATGTAGTAGACAGAACAAATTTGAAGTTCCCAGTGGCTGGGTACTATGTCTTGTTTGTTCTAGGTCATCTTTTCCATAGTCTCTTAGTATCTTTCATATGATGTAGTACATACTAAAGAGTTACTACATCTACATTTAGACAACCAGCATTTGTCGAGTACTTGCTCTATGACTGTGTTTGGATTTGGTTTATTTTGTGTTTCTCAAAGAGAGAATGTGTTTCTCAAAATGGATTTTCCAGGGTACATGGGGTCAACCTGGCTCTAAAGGATGACTTTATTGCTAAGTCTGTATGACAGAATCATGTCTGGAACTTGTTTTTTTTCTGTTTTCTCTTGAGTATAAACTTGAATTCGGGGCTTCCCTGGTGGCGCAGTGGTTGAGAGTCCGCCTGCCGATGCAGGGGACGCGGGTTCGTGCCCCGGTCCGGGAAGATCCCACATGCTGCGGAGCGGCTGGGCCCGTGAGCCATGGCCGCTGAGCCTGTGCGTCTAGAGCCTATGCTCCACAACGGGAGAGGCCACAACAGTGAGAGGCCTGCGTACTGCAAAAAAAAAAAAAAAGAAACTTGAATTCAATGTTGCACTTGCAAAATTACATGTTCTTTTTGGAAATTCCAGTCAAGTACCTTGACCCTAGACCTTCATCTGTGCCAGAAAAGGCCTGTGATGCCTGTGAGCTGTGCCTGAACCCTTGAGTCCCACCAGTTCTCACCACTACACAGACCTCCTAATACATTGCTTTCCAAAAGTTCAGATGCCCTCTCAGGAGGTCCCAGAGTATTTCTTCCCTCTTGGCCATTTACCTGGATCACTGACAAGGAAGACTGTCTTTGCTTTGCCACATGTCAAGGCTGAAGAAACAGAATCTCCAATAGAACTTTTCCTGTTATCTTTTTGTACATGTTCATTTGCACAATATCCCTTGTTTGAGTGACAGTATCCTTTGTTTGAGTGACAGTATCCTTTGTTTGTGTGAAGTACAAGTGAGGATTCTGGTTCAGCAAGACGTAAAGTCTATTTACTCCATTCCTAAATCTTAATGCCTTCTTGTGGTATGGGATTTGTAAGGCACTTTATCCCTTTGTCTTGTGTTTCATTGTAAATGATACAGGCAGAGATGATATCTAGTTCTGCAGTGGATTGTCACTGTTTACACCTGCATTAATTTAATAAAATATTCTTATTTATTTTGTTCTTCAGTGCACCCACATATCTATTTTCTTGTTTTCTACATGTTTTATAAGACCATTCCCAGTTCAACATCCCGATGGAGACAGTTACTTGTAACATCTTCAGCTACCTTCCTAGTTCTTTTTTTCATAGCTTCTATGTTTACACAGCATACTCTTGCATCCTGTGTGATGAAAAAATATCAAAAGAATTTTTTAAAGAATGCATTGAAAATTTTCATCCTTTCTCACTTGATAGCTTCCTTTAGGACAATACCAAGAAAAGAGTCAAAATTGTGTTGTCCAAATTGAAGATCTGAGGGAAGGGAGATGGGAGAGGAGTGGTCTTCAAGAGAACTATAGGGAAATGAAGGGGCTTTCCTTTATGAGAGTACTCTTCTCAGATCAGTAGATATGGATATGCAAGCCCATGCATACGAAGCTGGATGTATTTCAATCATGCGGTTCTGAAAAGGAAGTGAGAAACCTAGATTGAAGTCAAGTTGAGGATTAAGGCCTGGTTCAGGGTGGGACAGTAAGAAGATTTAATGTCAACTAATTTAATTACTTAGTCATCAGGCTTACTTTAAAGAGACTTTTGATCATTTCTCTAAACCAGACACTCTCAAAAGATAATGATGACTATTTCTAAGAATATGTCAGATTCTAGATGGTTCTAAAGAAAGAGTATCAGTATCTTTGTAGAAATGATGATGATATAATGTTTATGCCACTGCTGGGCAATGAAAGCAATAAAAATGCATGGTTGGCATCAGTATATTTCACCTTTCTGATCAATCTTCCTGGCTGGCTTTGGTGGTCATGGTTCTGGATGGACTTTCGTGACACTGGAAGGGTCCATACTGTAGGAAAGTTAGCTTGAAAATGTACCATAAGCTGTCATTAAGCTTTTACTCCAATCCCTTTTACAAGCATGTGACTATCTGCCATAAGTGGACCAAATATATTTTTATCTAAATATTTTAGAAAATTATAGATTATTACTATTTTAAAACTTAGAATTCAAAATTAGCTTTTTCACTGTAGATATCCCTGACCAAATTTGTGAAGGTAGATACATGCCGTTTTCGTACTTTTTTCCTACTCCAGGCCCACAAAGTTTCAAGGGAATTAATACTACAAATCAAATTACCCCTATATAATTTAAATATTTCCAGAATTATTTATATTTTAAAAGAGGTTAAAGTTTGACTAAACTGAAGCAATTGTTAGTGGTGGGGTTTTATCATTAATAATTATAATAATTACCATTTATTGAGCATGTACTCTATGTCAGGCACTGGGATTACACATATTATCTCATTTAATGTCATGGGCTGGTGATAAAGTGTACCAAAAAAGTGCATCATGTTTACCTGGAGAGCTACCAAATCCAGAAAGTTAACGAAAACCGGAGCATTAAAAAGGCGAAAATAAGTAATTGCATAATTACAGTGATATTATGGGAAGCTTTTATTTATTTATTTATTTGTTTGCACCAGGTCTTAGTTGCGGCAGGCAGGCTCTTTAGTTGCAGCTTGTGGGCTCCTTAGTTGTGGCACATGGATCTCCTTAGTTGCGGCTCCAGAGCTCCTTAGTTGTGGCATGAATGTGGGATCTAGTTCCCTGACCAGGGATTGAACCCGGGCCCCCTGCACTGGGAGCGTGAAGTCTTATCCACTGTGCCACCAGGGAAGTCCCAGGAAGGTTTTTTTTTTTTTTAAATAGAGTTTTTATTATAATTCTTGCTGATTATTTACTTAAATATTTTCCCTCAACAGAAAAATATAAAATGGCCATTTAAATGTTATATATATAAGACTATGACATTAATTTTGAATGGAGAGTAAGTTGTGGAACATTGGCTAAGATATACACTTCTCAGTTTCTTATTGTTGTGAAGCTATCGTATTTTGACTCCATTTTCTACCAATTTATGATCTGCCTGCAGATATTATAGTATAAAGATGCAACTTGGGGGGCAGGAGTTCTGAATATGCATTTCCATTCAAGGAAATATTATCAGTAAACAGATCCCCAACCTCCCCCTTCCAGTCAATGTGACCTCTCTAGGAGATCTCTTTTTGTAGAAAATGAAAGTGGCTAATACAATCTCACCAAGGAGAGAGTCAAGCTGGGGAGATGGGCAGCAGCCTCGAGTGTGGAGTGAAATCTCATCCATGACCCCAGGATTTAATTCCTCATCAGAGCTTTTCAGTCCATGTGGCAAACCAGGGGATGATCCAGAGGGGGATGGGAGGTCAAAAATGTTAAGAAGAGCTACCCACTTCAAGGATAGGCCTGAGGAAATAGGCAGCAGCATCCTGGTTGAAGGGGAGGTAAAGGGAGGTGAAGATCCACCCTGTCTCCAAACTTGCAATAATCTCTAGGCTGGAGACCAGCCAAAGGATCACACACTCTCACATTCACACTTTGAGACCCCTGGGGATGTCTGCAATGGTGGCAGAACTGAGTTAGGACAGTGTTCCAGAGCCTACATTTTGGGGCAGGAAAATTCTCAAGAAATAAGTGGTTTACCAGATTAAGATTTTATGGCAGGATTGTGTCATACCTCAACATATTAATCTGATTTTTCTCTGTGTATGTCCCTCCACCTCTTCTCTCCCTCTTTGTTGCCTGAGGGTCGATTTTCCTCCCCAAGCCCATGCCAAAGCTGAAACCTAGAAAGTACCACTTTATTCCCTGAAATTCCACTCCCATTTCCCACAGTTCCATTACAAACATCTCAGTGGGTCAGGTAACTCATTGGACATCTTCTACATGCCAGGCATTTACAGGGCATTGTAGGGGAGTCAAAGATATTTAGTGTGGCTCATGCTATCATGGAGCTTACAGTCTAACTGAGGAAATGATATATAAATTTAGGAAGAATTAAGTAATAAATCAAGTGTTAGAAAAGATGAGACATTTTAAAAATGTCTCAAGACAGTGAGAAGAGAGGACAGCAAATGCTGTGAAATAGAGGAGGGAGGAAATAGTAAGGGTTAGAAAGCCTTCACCAAGGAAGCCAGATTCAACTTGGACCCTGGAGAGTGGAGAAGATGCCTACCTCTGATGTTTTGTGTCTTTGTCCATTTGGGCTGCTATAACAAAATACCACAGATTGGTAGCTTATAAACAGAATTTATTTCTCATCTTTCTGGAGCCTGGGAAGTCCAAGATCAAGGTGCCAGTGTGGTTGTGTTCCAGCCAAGACCCTCTTCCTAGTTCACAGCTGGAACTTTCTCGCTGTGTCTTCACATAGTGGAAGGGGCAAGGGATCTCTGTGGGGTCTTTTTCATAAAAACACTAATCCCATTCATGAGAGCTCCACCCTCATAACCTAAGCACCTCCCAATGGCTCCATCATCCTAATAACCTCATCTTTGGGGGTTAGAATTTCAACATGTGAATTGGGAGGTGGGGCACAAACATTCAGATAATAGCAGTGTGGAAAGCAGTTTCTTTTCTTTTCATACAGGTTAAATTTAACAATCGAAGAAAATCTGTGATCCCTTACATTTACTTGATACAACCCTGAAAAGGATAATTTGGCAATATCTATCAAGTTATAAATGACCCAGAAATTCTACTTGCAGAAATTTACCCTACAGCTGTATTCTCATATGTGCAAAATGGCATATGCATAAGGATATTTATTGCAACTTTATTTATAATAGCAAAACACTGGAAACAACCCAAATGTCCGTCAATAGGGAACTGGTTAAATAAATGTGGTGGCACATCCAAACAACAGAATACTGTATTAGACAGCCACATCAAAAAATAAGGAAGAAAAAAAAAAATAAGGAAGTTCTTTTCTGTACTGACATGAAACAAATCTCCAAGATAGAGTACAATACGCTACACTTTGTAATTATATTAATTAGGTATACAACAACACATATACTATGAGCATTTACTTTCACAATAAGTAGTATGTATACTGTGTACACTTATTTTGTATATTATGTACACTATGCATCCTTTCAGATACAAATTTTGCACTTTTGAAAGGAAAAAATTAGATACATATTTCCTTGTATATGCAAAAAATATATATCTGAAAAGATGCATCTGAAACTGTTAAAACTGGTTGCCTTTGGGGTGGCATATTGGGTTTATAGTGGGAGAATTTTATTGGTTTTGACTTTTGAATCATATTATTACCTATTCCAAATAAACAAA